CTCTGTCTCTCATTCTCTCTCTCTCAAATAATAAAATAAATAAAATCTTTTAAATAAAAATGCTGAAAACCAAAAACAAGGACCCAATCCTGAGAGTGGCAAGAGGGAAAAGGACTCATCACTTACAACCCCTCCACAGGAGATTAACTGCTGACTTCTCACCAGAAACAGCAAAGGGCGGAAGGCAGTGGAGTGGCATATTCAAAGTGTTGGGGGGGTGGGATTTGTCAACCAAGAATTCTCTATCCAACAAAACTATCTTTCAAAAATAAAGGCAAAATAGGGATGCCTGGGTGGCGTAGTCAGTTAAGGGTCTGCCTTCAGCTCAGGTCATGATGCCAGGGTCCTGGGATGGAGTCCCACATCAGGCTCCTTGCTCAGCAGGGGAGCCTGCTTCTCCCTCTGCCTGATGCTCCCCCTGCTTGTGCTCTCTGACAAATAAGTAAATAAAATTTAAAAAAAAAAGAGAGAGGGTTAATTTAAAAATAAAATAAAGGCAAAATAGAGACATTCCTGGATAAAAACAAAGAATTCACTGCTAACAGACCTGCTTTATAAGAAAAACTAAAGATAGTTCTCCAGGCTAAAAGCACATGAAGAATTACTGATAAGAGTAATTACGTGATGCAAAAGACAATGTTGGGGCACCTGGGTGGCTCAGATGGTTAAGCATCTGCCTTTGGCTCAGGTCATGATCTCCAGGTCCTGGGATTAAACCCCATGTCGGGCTCCCAGCTCATTGGGGAGTCGGCTTCTCCCTCTCCCTCTGCCTCTGCCCCTGCTTGTGCTCTCTCTCTCTCAAATGAATAAATAAAATCTCAAAACAAAACAAAACAAAAAAAACCCCACAAAAGACAATGTAAATATGTATTTCTTCTCTTAACTGATTTAAAAAGCAATTGTACAAAACAGTATGTATGTAATTGTATGTTGGGCATATAACATATAGAAATGTAACATACATACTATTAGCCCAGAAGAGGTGGGTGGGAACAGAACTATTTTGGACTAGAAGATGACACCAGATGGAAACTTGAATCCACAGGAACAAATGAAGAGAATCAGAAGTGATAAATAAGAAGGTCAATATAACAAACATTATACATATATACTTGCTTTCCATTCTTCCCTCAGCTTCTCAAAGAAATTAAAGAGGACTTAAATAAATGGAAAGACATCCAAAGACAATATAGATCAAATGGCAATACTCTCCAAATTGATCTACAGATTCAGTAAAATCAGAATCAGAATCCCAGCTGGCTTCTTTGCAGAAATTGAGAAACTGATCCTAAAATTCATATGGAATTTCACAGGACCCAGAATAGTCAAAACAAAGTTGGAAGTCTTGCACTTCCCGATTTCAAAGCTACAGGAATCAGAACAGTGGTATTATTCACAGAAGGACAGACATATAGATCAATGGAATGCAACTGAGGGTTTACAAATAAACCCTCACATTCATAGTCAATTGATTTTGACAAGGTTGCCAAAACAATTCAGTGGAAAGAAGTCTTCTCCATAAATGGTGCTGAACAACTGGATTTCTTTTTTTTTTTTTTAAAGATTTTATTTATTTATTTGAGAGAGAGAATGAGAGAGAGAGAGCACGAGAGGGAAGAGGGTCAGAGGGAGAAGCAGACTCCCTGCCGAGGAGGGAGCCCGATGTGGGACTCGATCCCAGGACTCCAGGATCATGACCTGAGCCGAAGGCAGTCGCTTAAACCGACTGAGCCACCCAGGCGCCCTGAACAACTGGATTTCTACCTGCAAAAATCAGTGAGCAGAAAACTCTGACTTATTTTTCCCTCTAACTGTGAATATTCATGTATTTCTTGACAGAAATATTAATGTGTTTGATTATGGGATGATGTCCTAGGCCACAGGTGGTGTTACATATAAATGATATGTGTGCCCTATTAGCTTTCTAAAATCAGAGACGTGTTGAATTCAGAAACACACCTAACCACGGGGGTGGGGGGGGGGAAGGCGTGGGTAATACTGACCTTAGGGAAGGCTCAACCCAGTATCTGGCATACAAATCCCCCAATAAAAGCTGTTATATAACAAGTAATATATAATAGTGTTCTGAGCAGTAATTGAAAGAACACACAAAGTGCAGAGGTCCTAACAGTGTGTGTTGGGAGAGAAAGGGCTTTTATGTTGCTACAATGTTATAATAGAAACAAAAACAAGAAAACAAAAGAGGAGTCCAATTTTGAGAGGAAGCTACAGTGTACCAAAAGATGTCATACCCAGCAGGGAGTGAATCGGTAACAGAATGATGAGCGAGCAGTCGTCTGAAGTGTGCCCTCCAGTCGCTTGGGACAGTGAGGGGCCCAGGGAGGTACCCCCATGGGGGCCTGCCTGGAAGCCACCCTACATCCTGTGGGGACGCTTCCTCTGCCGGTATTCACCTCAGGATTCCCATCTCCGGGCTTCTTAAAGCACAGAACCAGGGTTTCAGAAATCCCTCCAGCGCTGGTTAGAGGCCCAGTCCTAGCGTATTTGGGACACCAGGCACCTGCATCTTAAACCAGTTCTCAGACCACCCCAATTAACCCTTGCATTCTAGCACCACTGGCCTGGCCAAATAGCTTTGGGGAAGGGATGCGGAGGGAAAAGGAACAGGGGCTCCCGGTGAATCCAGGGTGGCCCGGAGCAGGCCAGGCCTGCGTGACCTCTGGAGCTTTCAGGGGCCTCACCCTCTCACTGGGCCGGACACATTGCTGACCACGGTC